TAGGTTTAAGGTGAGAGGGGGAAGATTTAAAAGGGACCTAAGGGGCAACTTTTTCCCATAGAGGGTGGTGCGTGTATGGAATGAGCTACCAGAGGAAGTGGTGGAGGCTGGTACAGTTACAACATTTAAAAGGTATCTGGATGGGTACATGAATAGGAAGGGTTTAGAAGGATATGAGCCAAAGCTGGCAAACAGGAATAGATTAATTTAGGGTATCAAGTCAGCCTGGATGAGTTGAGTTGAAGGGTGTTTCCATGCTGTAACTCTCTATGACTCTAAGCAAGATAGATAACGGGGAAGCAGAGCCTGTAATATAGCTGGATTTCGAGAAGGGATTTTTTTTTTTTTTTTAAAAAGGTACCACCCATTAAGCTACTTTATAAGCTAAAAGCCCATTGTTGGAGGTAGTATCTTAGCATGTAAAGAGGATTGGCTAATTCATAGAAGGCAGAGAGTTGGGATAAGGGGGCCATCTTCAGGATGGTACCCTGGACCGTCACATTTAAGACAGAGATGAGGGGGAATTTCTTCTCCCAGAGGGTAGTGTATTTGTGAAATTCTTTACTACAAACAGATGTTGAGGCTGGCTCATCAACTATATTCAAGGCTGAGATTGAGAAATTTTTAATCAATAGGGAACTTGAGGGTTACAGGGAAAAGGCAGGAAAATGGAGTTGAGGCTTCTCAAATCAACACTGATCTCACTGAGCAGCAGACTCGATGGACTGAATGGCCTACTTCTCACGTCTTAAGGTCTTAAATTACCAGAGAAAAACTGGTTTTCAAACCTGAGGTTATGGAAACAGAAGGTCATTTACAGCTTGGATAAAAGAATGGGTTAAGGAATAAAAGCAGTGAGTCATGGTACATGGTTATTTTACAGGCTGGATCCAAGGGTCAGTGATGGGATCACTGTGTTTTTGATACATACAAACAGCTTGGATATTTGATATGGAGTAAAATTTCAAAGTTTGCTGATGGAGGAATGGCAGACAGACGATACTAATCCACTACACCAGGACAGTGATAGGCAAATAGACAAGCGGCAGCCGGCATTTAATAGGAAGAAAAGTGGGGTGATACATATTGACAGATGGGATACAGGGGGACAACATAGATTTAATTGTGCCGTTCCAATTAACTTGAGGGACAGAGAAACCTGGAGTTCACGTACATAGTTAGCAAAGAGGAGAACAGAGAATGTGGCCCAGTGAAAGAACAGGAGGAGGGATGAGAGAGAATGGGGGAGTTAGGAAGAGACAATGAGAGGGGTGAGAACAGGGAATCTGGAAAAAGAGAGAATGAAGGGGAGATAGAATGCAGGGGTAGACAGCAGAATGAGGAGGGAGAAAGAATGGGGGAAGAGAACACGGGGGGGGGAAGAGAACGAGGGGGGGGGGGAATGGGGGGGAAGATTGAGGGGGGAGAAAGGGGAAAGAAGAGGGTGACAGGAGAGAGGAGGAAAAGGGGTGAGGAATTTGGGAAGAGAGCGATTGTGGTAAAGGAAACAAAGAGGAGGGAGATGTGGGAATGTAGAGAAGGAAGGAAGGAAAGGGAGGTGGAAAAAATATCCATACAAGCGCAGCTCATGAGCACAGCCTGTGACAGTGGGTGTTATAAATCCTTGTCGTAATATGTAAGTCTCTCTGGAATGAGTTTATGTTTTCAAGAGCTGGGGCAGCTGTCATACTACAGTCGATAGGTTTTCCAGACCACTCAGTTCAACCAATCAGCCCCACCTAGGCCCTGTGTACTCTGAACCCTCTTCTCTTGCATTGCTGAGCTCTATAACTAAATTGTTCACTACCTCCACATTTTCAGTCTCTCCCAGACTCTAATCCGTCGCTCAGACTTCTCTATATTCTCAACATCTGCTAGAGTACCCAAATTCTTTTTCTAGACTGTCTACAACTGCCACTCCCCACAACACATCATGTGCCCCCCACTTGGAGGGTTTCCCTAAATCTTTCCGTAGGTTTGCAACGAATGTGCAGCAATAAACAGACCATACTGCCCAGTCAATCCATACTGGCTCCCTCCTCACCCATCATCATAACACTGTATTGTTTGCTCCCTTGTATGTTTATCGAGATTACTTGAATATTCTAGAAAAAAACAGACATATCTTACTTTTTGTTGTGCACTCATCAGAACAAAAGCAAGAATTCCAAACTCACAGCAAAATTACGATAACTTTTACTACTGGAGAATAGAGTGTTGGTCAGTTGGAAAGCAATAATCCATTTTGTGAAAACAAGAAGAATTATGTTTAAACCTTGTGCCTCTTTTGAATTATGCAGGAATTTGGGGAGCCTATAATTCCTCATTACTTTCTCCATAGCATTGCTTTGTCCTACCAGAGTTTAAATGCCAATCGATCAATCTCTTTCTCCTGTTAGGTAAATGATTATGGCTGTTAAGTTTTGGTATTCTTGCATTTGGCCTGATCAATGAAAGATCAAAAAACTACAGCAACATGTCTCCCTTTCCAGCCAGATTTATGCTCTTTACCAGAAGTGTCTGTTCCCACAATGTATGTTAAACATATCGTCCAAGATCCCCAAAAACCAACAGGGTCTAGGCCCGAAACGTCAGCCTTTCTGCTCCTATGATGCTGCTTGGCCTGCTGTGTTCATCCAGCCCTGCACGTTGTTGTCTCGGATTCCCCAGCATCTGCAGTTCCTACTATCTCTGACTCAAATCTTCACCATTGTTCATTGCTTATTACGTCAGAAGCTGGTCTCGTAGTGCAGTGGTCATGTTCCTATCTCTGGACCAGGAGGTCTGGGTTCAAATCCCATCTGCCCCTGAGGTGAGTCACAGCATGACCAAGCAGACTGATTAAAAATAATTATAATGTCAGAAGTCCTGAATCCTTCCCCATCCCTACTTAAACTCCCATCTAGATTTAAAGCATTTGATCAATTGAATGATTTATTGCCAGCTGTATTTTATAAATAAATAGTGAAAAGTGTAATATGTTGCCATGCTTTGGCGCCATTTTGACATACAGAAGATTCAAATTAAGGTATAGGAATTAAACCATAAGACAGACAAACACTGAAATGGAAGTCTAAGTAAAATTACCTTTCACTAATGTTCAGTCATATTTACTGGCCCTACCTTCAAGATAATTTTCAAGTGTTTCCCAGAGATTACCTGGTCTATTCCTAGTATTATCCTACTTTTACAACAACGAAGTAATCTGGTTGGACACTTTTAATGTGAAAATGATTAAACCGTACTTGGGGAATTCTACAAAGTACCAAGTCAGCAGAAGGAGGAAAACATTGTGATCTATGAAGAGATAGGAAAGGAATGTGAGAAGGGAAACAGTTTCGCTACACACAAGCTTTAGTTTTGCAAATATAAACTGGGAAAACCCAAGTGCTTTAGTTGGTGAATTACTGCTTTGTAACAAAGAGTATCTGCCTCCTGTGAGGAAGAACATAACAAGAGGCCATCAATATCAGATGGGCATCAAGATATCCAAAAGGAAATTCAGTAGAGACTTCTTTAACTAAAGAGTGGTAAGAATGTGAAATCTGTGGCCACAGGGCATGGTTGGAGCGATTAAATTTAAAGGGCGGCTTGAGAAACATATGAGGGAGAAGGCAATAGATAGATACAATCACAGATACAGAAGTGGAAAGGTGAAAGGAGTATAAACTCAGACTTAGATTGACTGGTTTGAATGACCTTCTTCTGTCATATAACCTACGTAATCTTATGTTCTGTTGAAAGAATGAGATGAAGTAGAATATGGCAAGGCTTGTGTGGAGCATAAAAATTAGCCCAGACCAGTGGGGGCTAAATAGTCCATTGCTATGCAGTAAATTCTATGTACGGCTAATCGTTTGGTAATGGAGACCTTGACAAAACGTGACTTTCTTCAGACAAACTCAAATTCTATGTAAACCCATCAGAGATTGTGAACAAAAATAAACAACTGTCTTGCTGCTATTTCTGTTTCTTATGCACAACACTCTTCCCAGACTGCAGTGAGGTTTCACCGCACTGTGTAATTCACTCTTTACAAAACCAGAAAATAAATTTGATCATTAATTCAACAGCATGTTGTTGAAAAAACAAAAAGAGCAGATTGTACATTTTTGTTTTCCTACATCCTATTGAGTATTCCATTCTCTAACAATGTATGTTTGGTCACAGTAATGCTGCTTTGAATGCTGATGCACGTTATTTAAGAGACCCACCACACAGAAAGTAATCCCAGGCGATTGCAGGCATTATGTTGTGGTATTTTACCATCAGCAGCTCTGAGTATATTCCACATTTTAAAATGCACCCAAGTCTCTTGGGAGGCCAAACATATCTACAAAGTGAACCTGGCCACCTAGCTGGATGCATTGGGGAATTTGAAATCCTCAGAGTGTTGGGCTCAAGTCATTATTTGCACTGGAACCTGTTTCATAAACAGTACTTGAAATAAATCAATTTGATACTTCACAAGTTTGCATTTTGTTTTTTAAAAGATTAGACTTCAGATGCAACACTACAGCAGTGCAACCACATCTCAAATCTGCGACCACCGTCCATGGTTCACAGAAAATGAAAGTTGTTTTGTTTTGAGAGAGAGCATGCGGCAGGAACACGAGGAGTCCCGCTCCTCTCATCTTCTGATCCCCTCAGAAAAGGAAAAGCTAGCCAACTGAGTTTCGCTCGTCAGGGGAGCAGGTGGGATTTAGAGAAGGCAATGAGTGAAGAAAATCTGATGGGAGAATTGTCAGAAGCAGACTCTGGCCTTCCCTGGCCACAGGGTCTTTGGCAGAGGGACGGGGTTGGCAGCCATTTTGAGGCCTGTGCAGACCTGTCAGCCACAGAGTGCTATGCCAGACATGTAAAGAGGCAATGAAATTACTTCAACGTGAAACAAAACTATACGATTGTTTTCGTGATGTCACCCCCCCACCCCCAAACTAACACAATAAAAGCACTCCAATATAAATCACACAAAAAGCTCGAGGGAAGAAGGGACCTACCTGTAATACCTGGACTGTAAGTAAGTGGAACACACAGCCTTCGAGACATGACTCGCTGAGCCGAAATCTATCACCTTCACTCTGTACGGCTGCCTGACCGGATCCACCAGCATGATGTTTTCTGGTTTCAGGTCAGCGTGAATTAGGCCGAGGTTCTTGAGTTTCATCAAGGCTGTGGCTACCTGCTGCAGGATGGGCCTGATGTACTTGAGGGGCAACGGACTGAACTTGTTCTGCTTCAGGAAGTCGTACAAGTTCTGCTCCAGCATTTCAAAGACAAGGCAAGTGTGGTTCTTGTGCTGAAAGCACTCATAGGCCCGGACAAAATTGTAGTCATCCGCACTCTCTGTGCTTAGTCGAGCGAGGATGCTCACCTCAATCTGGCCCTGCCGTGCGTAGGAAGGGTGGTTCTTCAGAATCTTGATGGCCACAATCTCATTGGTCCCCCTTTTCCAGCACTTCACTACTTGGCCAAACGTCCCCCGGCCAAGAAACTCCAACACCTCGTAAGTGTTGGTCATTGAGCACAGCACCTCGTGCTGTAGGAGCTGGTAGTCACCCTCGCTGTTCGACCCACTGTTCTTAGAAGTGGCGGTGGAAGTGGCTGCCGTGGCAACAGTGGCGCCGCTGGTGGCGTTCTGAAGCATTGGCGGATGCTCCTCAATGATCTGCACGCTGCCGGTGTCCTCGAGTTCCTCACTCTTCCGCTTCAGGCCGCATCTCTGGTAGGTATCGAGGAGGGTCACGGTGCTGCGGCGCGTCAGGTTCTGCGGGCCTCCCAAGGCCTGAGCAGACACGGCCACCACCCCCGATGTGCTATTTGCTGTCGTGAAGACAATGTGGCCAGCACTGGCCGGGAAAATCACTGTCTGCTCGTAGGACAGAGTTGGATTGGTAACTTGAAGAGAAGCGCTGATTGTTGACTGTGCGATGTTCGGACTCTTGCTCTGGTTATAGACTTTACTGTGTGAACCATACCCGGTCATATCCCAGTTAGAACCTGGCTCCACTTTCAGTTTTTTCACACTGCAGAAGGCACTTGTCTGGATTGTGTGAGGGGAAAACACTTGCACTTGTGAGGCCATACCTGCAGAGACAACAGAACAAAGGCTGAACTCTATAACACCTGCCCAAGTGCAAAAGAATAGGAGAATCTGCATTCTTATAGCACCTTTCCCAACCTCAGGACGTCCCAAAACAATTCACACCTGTTGATGCGCTTCTGAAGTGTGGTCATTGTCATAACATAGGAAGTACAGTGCCAATTCATGTATAGCAAGCTCCCAGATAATCCATTTTAGTGACATTCATTGGAGAAATAAAATAACATAGGAGAAATTCTCAAGGTGTGTGGCATTTGACATCCATTTGAGACAATTTAGTTTCAATTCAATCTTTTGAATATTGTCGAATATTAAATGATGGCATGTCCATCAGTGCATTTCTGGAGCTGGGGCTTAAATAACCCTGTCTCTGGAAAGCACTGGCTCTTGGTGGTGCAGAGCTCTGTGAATTCCCTATGGCCTACTTAAAGTTATACTGTTGCAACTCCAGAAAGCTTCTTTGATAACACAGCCCACAGCACCACTCTCTAAGGCCTTGACTGACAACAGCAGCAGGTGGATGCAAATGCCATACCCTCTGGACACGCCGTCCTGACTTGGAAATGTATCACCATTCCTTCAGTGTCGCTGGGTCCAAATCCTGAAGAAACACCCTCCCTCACAGTACTGTAGTTACCCTACACCATAATTAAAGATGTACAATAGATACTTCCCTCATCACTGATACACCCATTCTGTGAATGAGTAGTTCTCCTTGACATCTAGACTTAGACAGCAAGTGTAATCCAAATTATAACCGCTCAGAGCAAAGAACCTTCTCTTCAATTCCCAGCTGGATTTGCTGGAAGTTAGACCCTGGATGGCATCACAGCTAAACCCAACACTGAGTTTGCTCAATGACCAACAGAGGCCCAAGGGTTATCAATCAGAACAAACAGTGCTGCTGGATTCGCTCCTCCTCCAGCTCCACCGATGGCAACGTTGGCACTGGGAATCCTATCTAGGTCCTGTGAAACAAAAAGGGGAGTCTCTTTACCTACTTGGAGGGCCAACAAGCAAACTTTTTTGCCACAAAGAGTTGAATCAACTCATCTGGGTTAATGGAAGAGACAGGAGTCAGAATGCAAGAACCACAACAACAGGGCAAGAACCTAGAGTGAAGTAAAAGGTGGAATGTACAAGGGGAATGGAAGCCTGGACAGGCAACAGGTGAAAGAGGGTGGAAGGACTGTGAAATATTAGACGAAATGAATGTAGAGAGAGAGGAGGTACTAAGCAGGATTAGCAACCTTAAAAGTGGATAAATCCACAGACCCTGATGAGATGTATCCCAGGCCGTTGTAGGAGGCAAGGAAAGAGATATCAGGGGGCCTGACTGTAATTTTCAAATCTCCATGAGGTACCAGAGGAGTGGAGGACCGCTAATGTCATTACATTATTAAAAAAGTGAGAAAGGGATAGACCAGGAAATTACAGGTTAGTCAGTCTAACGTTAACAGCGAGGAAGTTATTAAAAAGAATTCTCAAGGACAGAATGTATCTACACTTGGACAGACATGGATTAATCAGGGATTGTCAGCATGGATTTGTTAAGGAAAGGTCATATTTAATAAATTTGATCAAATTGTTTGAGGCAACAAAGACTATTAGTGTGGTCTATGCATTTGAAGTGGTCTATATGGACTTTAGTGAGACTTTTAATCGTGTCAAGAATGTAGGAGGCCAAAGGCTCCAAGTGGCACATTGGATCCCAAATTTGGCTTAGAAGCAGGAAGCAGAGGGTGATGGTAGAGAGATATTTCTGTGACTGGAAGTCTGTTTCCAGTGTGGTCCCATAGGACTCGTTGCTGAACATGGTGCACATTGATGATCTGAACTTAAGCGTATGGGTATAATCAAGAAATCCTTGGAGAATGAATACTGATAAGGTGATAAATAGGAAGGAGGATAGCCATTAAACTGCTTGAGGATTCAACGGACTGGCAGCTGGGCAGAGTCATGGCAAATGGAACTCAACCCAGAACAGTGTGAGAATATACTTGGGATGGCCACTAAGACAAAGGAATACACGATGGGTGACAGGACCGTGGAAAGTACTGAAGATCAAAGGGACCTTGGTATGAATAGCACAGATCTTTAAAGGTTGCAAGTCAGGTACATAAGGTGGTTAAGAAAGTACATGAGATAATTGCCTTTCTTAGCTGAGGCAATGAATACAAGAGCAGGGAGGTCACGCTGGAACTGGAATATAGCATGCAGTTCTGGTCTCCACACTATAGAAAGGATATGATTACACCGGAGACGGTGTAGAGGAGATTTACCAGGATGCTGCCTGGGCTGTAGGCTGTGAGCTGTCAGGAAAGATTGGATAGCCTGGTGTTGTTTTCCTTGGAGCAGTGAAGGTTGAGAGGGGTCCTGATATATAGGTGTTTCAGATTACAAGGAGCACAGATTGGGTGGATGGGAAGGTGCATTTTCCATTAGTAGATGGGTCAAAGGCCATTGATTTAGGCTAGGATCTAGAAAGCTGAGAGGAGAAGAGAATTTCTTTCAACTAGAAGGTGGTGGCAATCTGGAACTTACTGCCTTAAAAGGATGGGTCAAGTCTGAAATATTCATCATGTGGAAGCAGTATTCAGACATTCACATGTCCAGATCTCCAGAACTATGGGCCAAGAGCTGGAAAATAACATTAGCGTAAGCAGCTCCTGGTTGATTGGTGGGGGCACGGTGGACCAAATAGCCTCCGTCTGTGTTATAACAATATAAACAGTCTAACACCAGGAGATCTTATCACAGGGAAATGTCACAGGAACACCACTGACCAGGAGGAGATATTGTGACTGGAACCAAATCTTGGTCAAAGAGTTGAATTGACAGAGCACCTTTGAGAAGGAGACAGAAGGAGCGACGCCAAGAGTTCTGGGGGAGAAATTCCACAACTTAAGGCCCAGGCAGCCATTGGTGGATTAATGAAGGGAATAGGATAAATTCAAGCTTATGCAAGATGGAAAATACTAGGCTAGTCAATAAAGTGTTGGACTCTTTGAGTGGTGGTCACAAAGGCATAGATGAGGGTTTTCACAACAAATGAATGAGGGAGACAAAGTTACAAAAGTGGCAATGTATAGTTTGGCGATGGGGATGATATTCTCTTCGCATGAAATTTTAAGTAATGACAATTAACAGTCTAGAATCAGGCCAAGTGAGCAAATCTCCCTATCTGTCCAACAATCCAGCATTAATTTGTAAGTGGGACTGGAGTCCAAATTCCAGACTAGCTGATGCATTGGGCTGTTCGATCCGGCAGTAGCTAGCTATCTGAGGACCAATGAGCAGTAGAACCAGTGGTTTGGAGATGGGTGATGGCTCGGGGTTGTCCCAGAGTGGCCCAGGAATAGTGAGCACTTCTCACGGACGTGGGCCTGAGGTTCCTGATGTTTCTCATTATAACAATCCATTGAATCTGAAGTATCATTTCTCCCCTTGTGGCTTACCCCCTTCAGATGCAAATCCTGCTCTGCTGCTGTTTAGAAAAGAAAGAGATGAGCAAATATTGCAGGAAGCAATGTAGAAAGCAAATGGCATGTTAACCTTAATTCCAAGAGGGTTGAGATGAAGAATAAAAATGCCTGACTATAATTATGTGGGGCTTTGGAGATAGTACATAGACCAGGGACTCCCATGTGCAGTTTGTGACTGAGCCCTTCCACTTTTCACTCCTGAATGGTAAGCTCTAATTTTAAAGGTTATTCCCCCTTGCTACCAATTCCACTCCCACCGCCCCATCACCCCCATCCAACAGGAAGTGGCTCTTGCACAGAAGGAAGGATATTCTTGTCTTAAAGGAAATGCAGCCAAATGGGTTACTGGGCTATCCTGTGAACAGAGGTTCAGTAAAGTGAACCATAAAGTGCTTCTTCAGAGTGGTGCTGCAGGAGGTGCTGTCTTTCAGATGGAGGCATAGAAACTGAGGCTCACAGTCTGACCTCTCGCTTCATTGCTAGAGATCACACAATGCAATTCTGAAGCAGAACAGGGCATGGGCTTACACCTGATATTCTGGATAATAATTATTGCCAGCAGCATCGCCAGTTATGTCTGGGAGCTTGCTATGCAGTGAGCACACTTCAAAAATGTGAGCACTTAGAAATGCCCTATGGTGGTGAAAGGGTCCATTCAAATGCAATTCTTTCAGCCTCAGTGGTAGCACTGGAGAACTCATCTCCACCAATGCATTTTTTCACCACTGTGGTCTGCAAATGGTTAAAAACCACACTCATTCCTCAAGATGCTGGGAGTTTCAGATTATGAGCATATGCTGCAAATCCTGAAAGGCTTTGGTGCCTAAAAACAGCACAATACTTCGGATCAGGCTAATGTTATCCATCACAGCGTTCTCCTTAATAAACAGTTCTGAGACACAGGCCTCAATTTAGAACTTGTTTACGTCTTGCTTCACTCGAGGTTTCATAATAATTCAGAATACCTGCAGCAGCAGTAAAGCATAAACACTGCAATATTTTTCTCCTCGAGTTGTCTGAATCTTGCTTTGCTCTCCACCCTCTTATCTCGCCCCGTTCTGCCTCACTTTTGGCTTTAAGCCAAAGACAGTGGTGTGGGCATGCTATTCCACTTCAGAGGGCTTCACCTCTGATATTCCCTCCCCTTCACCTGCCTTATAGTACCCATAGAGACTCAGAGGTATACAGCACGGTAACAAGCCCTTCAGCCCAACTAGTCCATGATGACCAGCTTTCCTAAACTGAACTAATCCCATTTGCCTCCACCTGGCTCATATCCCCTTCAACTTTTCCTATTCATGAACCTGTCTGAATATCTTTTAAATCTTGTAATTGCACCTCTACCACTTCCTCTGGCCATTCATTCCATACATGCTTCAGCCTGCTATGCTCCAGGAAAATAAGTCCCAGCCTATCCAACCTCTCCTTCGAACCAGAGTCCCTACAGTGCAGATAGAGGCCATTTGGTCCATCAAAGATGGTTGTAGGTTACAGGAAGA